TAACTATTTTATTATTTATTAATATACCGGGTACGGGGCGGGTCGGGGGATACAATACCCGCCCCCAACCCCGGTTTGCCTCTACCGGGGATCCCCGGCCCCGGCCCCGGTACCCGTTTTAGCGGGGATTCCCCGTCCCCGTCCGGGTCGGGTGAACCGGGTTCCCCACCGGGTCGGGCCAAATCACCATCCCTAACCTTGGGCGTGCGCACGTGCCGCCCTCCACCAGGGATGGCCCTATTTGTGGATCTTAAGATGTTTTCTAGCATCATTGTAAACGAAATGTTATCATATTATGGCAATGTTAACAATTAACCTAAGATACATTTAGTTGACAAAAACAATAGAGGGTCACTCTTAATATGAAAAACAAAATCTAAAGTCACAAAAATCAAATAATCTTCTATGTACATCAACAAGCTAAGATCAATGTTGAAACTAAAGGATTGAGCCCACAAGAGCAGATAGCAAAATCATCTTGCTAATATCAGCAAAATGTAGTAGAGTTGTAGGTCTCAATTTTGATAGTCGTTTAAACAATATGATAATCATGATCATACAGATGATAAAAGGTACTGAAACAATTAGGAAGTTTTACAAATATAATTAAGTAACAGAATCAAGAAGCAATTGGATATAGTTGTAGACTTCAATCCTGTGATGATTATAATTGGTTGGAGGTTGTTTGGTCGACAAACACAGACTATATAAAATGATATAAATCATGAAGTTTAAGAACGACCCGAAACCTTTGAAGAGACAACATTGAATTTTAAACTAACTCCATCTGGGAAACTACATATAAAAGTGTTGAAAGATTGATGGGTTTTGTATTAACTCACAGCTACATGGCCAGCTGCATATTGGATGTTGAAAATTATAGACTCAAGATATCGATTGTTTATTGATATTGTTGTTCTGATTACATCAAGAGAAGAAACAAACCCTATATATAAACAAGAAAACATAAAAAGGAAACCACTAGATAAAGAGATAAATAAGAAGAGGATATTGATAAATACGGAGAGGATATGGACCAAGAATTGAAATCCAATACTCCCCCTCAAGCTGGAGCGTGTAAATTGACAACGTCCAGCTTGTCCAGTAAGAAACGAAGTTACGAAGCTCCAAGCCCCTTTGTGAGAAGGTCAGCAAGTTGAAGCTTTGAGTCGATGGACATAGGACAAATTTCCTTGGATTCAACACGTTCACGAACGAAATAACAGTCCATTTCAACATGTTTAGTGCGTTCGTGAAAAACCGGATTGTTGGCGATATGCCGAGCTGCTTGATTGTCGCAGAAAAGTGTGGTAGAGCCAAGTTGTGGAAAGCCTAGCTCTTGTAAAAGCCATCGTAACCAGATGAGTTCACTAACAGTTAAATCCATGACACGATATTCAGCTTCAACGGATGAGCGTGAGACAACGGACTACTTTTTCGTTTTCCACGAAATAGGAGCACCACCAAGAAGAACAAGGTAAGCGGTTCGAGAATGCCTAGTGAGAGGGCAACCAAGCCAATTTGAATCAGCGTATGCAACCAGATTCGTGCCACCTTCTTTCGGTAAAAGTATGCCTTAACCAGGAGTGGCCTTGAGATATCAAAGAATTCTAGACACGACATCCATATGACTCTGACGGGGGTCTGAAACAAACTGACTGAGAGTGTTAACCGAGTAGGCTATGTCCGGACGAGTGGCCTGGAGGTAAAGGAATCGACCAATAAGACGTCGATAGCTACTGGCATCAACCGTGGGTTCTTGATCATCCATAACAAGCTTTAGGTGGCGTTTGTTTTTTAAGTGGTGCTGAAGTCTGAATCTGATTTCACTTCTGATTTTTAAGAGGTGGTGCTGAAGTCTGAAATCTGAATCAGTTGGACTGTTTGTTTTCACGTCTGAAGTCTGAAAACTGAATCAACATAAACACGAACAAAGTCTTAAAACAACTAGAGTCAATATTCATTTTGCATTAATTGTGTTGATATCATCCCCTTCTTCATTGTTTTGATCATACTAAAAAGGATGTACACCACCATATGCACTGTAAAAGATGCCAATACAAAGCATATTTACATTGAACAAAGACAACATTAAAATAGGAGACACAGTTACCTAAAACATATTTAACTAGCTAAGTACACCACCATATGCACTAATGCACACAATCATTTCCAATGTTTCGAATAAAGCAAAAGCAAATAGGTAAGGTAAACTAATAAATTGTTTACCTAATTTGTTGAAATAAATTGACAAGAAGTGAAGATGAAGAATACAAGACCTAACACACCAGGGAGAGGCCGAGAGGGAGAGCCGAAGAGGGAGTAGGGTTGTCGTCGAGGGTTGTCGCCGTCGGCCTGTCACCATCGCCGTGGGCCTGTCGCCATCACCTGTCGTGAGAGAGCTGGAGATCGATGAGCGACTGAGATTGAGCGATGTTGGAGATCAAGATCGAGAGGTGAATGATTGTGAGATGAGCAACTGTGAGAGATCAAGATCGAGAGATGAGCGACTTGAGAAAACTGGAGGCGTGAGATGCAGGCTGTGAAATAAGAGGTATTAAGAGAAAAAGTTACCACTTAATATTTCAGAGGAAAGAGAACGAAATAAGCTCTTATTTGAACAAAAAAAACAAACAGTCTTAATACCACAAACGTCTGACCGATTCAGACTTCAGTGGTATTAAGCTCTTAATACCAAAAAACAAACAAGCCCTTAGATTTTGTTCAATGGGGAATGAACTCGGGCGACATCCTCCCATGCCACTGTTTTCTAATATATAAAGAGTGTACTTCCGTTGGCTTAAAACGAGACCACGAGAAGTTCGGGCCACCTCTATTCCAAGGAAATATTTCAGTTCCCCAAGATCTTTAATGCTGAACTTGTCATGCAAACATTGTTTGACTTCGTGTATCTTCTTGGAATCATTTCCAACGATGATGACGTCATCGACGTAGATGAGAATGGAAAGAAAAGTGTTGTCATGTTTGTAGAGAAAAAGCGAATGATCTGCCTTGGATGAAGAAAAGCCGAGACTGAGGAGGGCAGTGATAAACTTTTGATACCAGTTTCGAGAGGCCTGTTTGAGACTGTAGAGAGATTTTCGTAGATGGCAAACACGATCGTCTTTCTCCGTGAAAAAACCTTGTGGTATCTTCATATACATTTTTTCATCAAAATCACCATAAAGGAAGGCGTTATTGACGTCGAGCTGGTGGATGAACCAATTGTTTTTAGTAGCCACGGATAATAACGTTCGAACAGTTACCAGTTTAGGTACCGGAGCAAACGTATCATGAAAATCTTCTCCTTCGATCTGGGTGAACCCCTTTGCGACGAGTCTCGCTTTATATCTTTCGACATCTCCATTTGGCTTGTATTTGATCTTGTAGACCCATTTAGAGTCAATGGCTCGTTTTCCTTCTGGCAAAGACTTAATAGTCCATGTGTTATTTTGTTCAAGGGCTTGAATCTTCTTCTTCATGGCTTCAATTCATCTCGGGTCTTGCATGGCTTGCTTAAAAGTTTTTGGCTCATCAGTGGTGGTGATGGCCGCCAAGAAATTCTTGTGAGTATTAAAAAAATTATTATAAGAAAGATAATTGGCAATGGGATGTACCGTTGAGGTGGCTTAAGTTGATGCGGTATGTGCATGGTCAACCGAAGGGGGAAGATCAACAATGAAATCATTTAGGCGTTTAGGTTGTGTTCGGTCCCTCTTTGGTCGAGAGTTTCCCAGATCAGTGTGTGTTTCGAGATTTTGAGGAGGTATCTCTTCATGGATTGTGTCTGGCCTACTTCCATCGTTCTCCATCATGTGCCCATCCAAGTTCGGTGGGCTAGAGTTAGGCCCATCATCTTCCACCTTGTGATTTTGCTCATGATTTTGGCCTTCAACGTCTTGAGCTTGTATGGGAACAAAGACATTAGGATCATTGGAAGCTTGAGTTTGAGCTGGGAAGGTAAAAGTGCTTTCATGGAACTTCACATCTCGTGACACCACCATTTTCTTGCTTTCAATATCAAATATTTTGTAGCCTTTTGTCCCTTGAGGATAACCTAGAAAAATTCCGGGTCTCCCCCTTACTTCGAACTTGTCACCCTTTGTTTCGATACTCCAAAAATAAGTTAGACAACCAAAGACCCTCATGTGATCATATTTGGGTTTTTGGTTGTATAATAATTCATATGGAGTTTTATCACCAAGAGTTTTAGAGGGTAATCGGTTGATGATGTACGCAGCGGTAAGAACGCATTCCCCCCAAAACCTTTTTGGCAAATTGGCTTCAAAATGCAGAGCTCGAGTCGTGTCGAGTAAATGTCGGTGCTTACGCTCAACAACCCCATTTTGTTGAGGCGTGTGAGGATACGTGGTTTCTAACAAAATGCCTTGCTTGGTGTAAAAGTTCAACATGAGATTTGACGTGAATTCCCCACCATTGTCACATCTTATTCTTTTGATGCTTTTATTAAACTGGTTTTCAACCATTTTACAAAAATTCACCAAACAGGTACTAGCATCACTTTTATATTTAACGAGAAAAATCCAAACATTCCTACTGAAATCATCCACAATGGTCAAGAAAAATTTGCTCCAGAGAATGAAGGAATTCGATATTTGCCCCATACATCACAATGTAATAGTTCAAAACATGCTTTGGTTTTAATTTCACTTAACGGAAAAGGATATCTCGTATGTTTAGCTTTGGAACAGGAATCACAAACACTATTTCTAAGATTAAAGGAAACACCTTTGAGAAAATCAACTTTAGCTAGCTTTTCTTGCGATGTGTGACCCAACCTCTTATGCCATCTTTCAACAGTGACTGTCATAGCTTTCCTTTCTTCCTCAAACATCCCCATTCGGTATATACCTCCCTTGCACTTACCCGCACCAATCAAGTTCCTCGAACAGAGACCCTGCATTACACAAAAATCAAGAAAGAATGTCACAGCACATTGAAGGTTTTTGGTTAATCGGCCAACGGATAAAAGATTACAAGTAAACTTTGGTACGTGTAATATGCCCTCGATCTTGTGCCTCCCGGTAGAGTATAATCACCCTTACCCTCAACCGGGATGGTATCTCCCTTAGGGATAACCACGGGCATTCCAAGAGGGTCTTTTCTTTTGTTAACAAGGATATTACTTAGATAGGTTGTGTGATCGGTAGCCCCCGAATCAACAATCCAATCATCCTTATTATCAATTCTACCTGTCATGTTGGCTACTCGTTTGTTCCCTTCATCACCTGTGTTGGTTCCACATTCAAAGTGTTTCAAGAAGAGATTGTATTGCTCCGTAGTGAGTCCGGGAATGGGAATTGAACCACTCTCAACGCAGGAGGCCCTCGGCTTTGTCTTGTCTCCCTTCGCTTTCCCTAGCCACCACTCAGGGTAACCAATCCGTTTGAAGCAACCTTCTCGATTATGTCCATCCCGATCACAATGAGTGCAATGTTGTACCTCTTCTTCTTGTTTTGCTATTTTCGAATAGGTCTTCGATTTCTGTTGTGAGGAGAAAAAGTTGTCACGTTTTGGAGGAACAAAAGCCTTAAAGGCGGCGGCTTCCACAGTAGGCTTCTTATCTTCGGTTATCAGCTTTTGTCGTTCATCTTCTACAACGAGATGATAGGCTGTCCTGAGACCCAGAGTTGGTTGGGTGGCAAGGATTTGGGTTTTGATAACTCCGAACCCATTGTCGAGACCCATAAGAAACTCGTACAGCCTCTCTTTTTCTTGATGTGCAACAAGCCGCTTACCGATGTCACACGTACACCCATTACACGTGCACTATGGGATGGGGAACATCGACTGGATTTCATCCCATAATGATCGAAGCTTTGTGTAGTAAGCCGAAACGGTGGCGCCGTCTTGGTGTGAGACAGCGATCTTGTTTTTCAGTTCGTATGCCCTCGGTGCGCTCTCTTTCCCAAATCGTTCACGAAGATCGATCCACATCTCTGCAGCCGTGTTCGTGTATTTCACGCTGCCTCTTATTTGTTTTTCCATGGCGGTGGTGAGCCTCCCTTTTATCATCGCATCCACTCTCATCCATGGCATGTAATCCTTGGATCTCTTTTCTGGCTATTCAATTGACCCGTCGATGAAACCGATCTTATTTTTTGTGAATAAGAAATTCTCCATCTCCTGTACCCAATCCGCATAATTTTTGTCTGACAATGCATCGTTGACTTGCATTTGTCTAGGGTAATTGTAAGGGTGCAGGTAATATGGTGAGTTGTAATCAACGACGTTGCCGCCGTTGTCTTTTGCCGACGTTGCTACGTCGCAGGCCATGTGTTTCATCGGAGCAGTAGGATCACCGCTCTGATACCATTAAAGACTCAAGATATCGATTGTTTATTGATATTGTTGTTCTGATTACATCAAGAGAAGAAACGAACCCTATATATAAACAAGAAAACATAAAAAGGAAACCACTAAATAAGGAGAAAAATAAGGAGAGGATATTGATAAATACGGAAACGATATGGACCAAGAATTGAAATCCAATAGAAAACATGAAATACAAGTTAAGGGCCAATACTTTTACTTACTTTATCAGGTACCATGAAAATAGATTGTTGGTAAGCAGTTAACACTTACCGGTTAAGAGTTTTCTTCCTCACTTATCGGGTAATATTCTCGGTCTTTGTTATATCTCTTACCTGATATTGGGTGAAACGACTTGTTCCCTACATCAAATTTATTAATTTACCAATAATTCAACAAACAAAGTATAAATTTACTTTACATTTAGAAAACATACCTATTTCAAACAACCACTTCACCAGCTAACTAAGCTTCATAACACGTGGTTTAAAGCAGTCAAAAACAAAAGATTCTCTGTTTCACATACTCGTTTGATCTTTGCTAATAAAAAGATTAACAAATAGACAAAAAGAGACTGTGTATTGATTCATTCATATATGGTAAACATGTCTAAAAAATTTATTTGAAAACAACTTGAAATAAGTTCCTTTTGCTTCCGGAAGAATGACAAACAACAATTGACGTTGTTTGCCTGGTGCGATCACTGTTGTAGCTTTGCAGTACACTCAAACTGGATCTGAACCAGGGCCTTCTCAATACTATGTGTTGGCACATAAAAAATCAGAATCAAAGGTTGGGGATTGAAAAGCTACCAAAAGGCAACAAGTGTTTTGATACTCACATTTACAAAAGAAAATTAATTTATTACCTCTCAAATATGTTCTTTTCCCACTAAAGCTAGCTTGGTTTTGATGGATCTATTTAGAGGTCTATACCATCTAATCCTGCCTTAAGAAGAGCATGAAATTCACTTGGAAAAGAAAATGTTCCATACTAATGGATTTGGGCCCATAACCATTGGATTCAGTTGTCAACTATCCCTATCGGAAATAGGATTGACTACGGATTCGAGCCATGGCATAATTTAGGAGGATTTGTTAACGTAGCATCAACACCAGGAAACAAAACCAAATTTTCAGTTCTTTGTATTACTTAGTATCCAAAATTATTGTAGTAAGTATGTCGCTAAATGTAGGAGCAATATTTTCTGCCTCTTCTGCTAGAGGGATCACAGTTAAGTGGAATTGACAGAATAAAAGATAAAGATAAGTGAGAAGAAAGGATGACCGGTTAGTGAACACTTTAATTGGTGCATTTACATCAATTAAGTACTGAAATAGTAAATTAAGTTCTGAATTACATGAACCTGATATAGTATATTCATAATAAGTCTTGGTCTGATTAAGATTAGGTCATGCACTGTGTTGTACAAAAGCTAAATTTTTTGGTTTTAGTCCAGAACTGTTCTACCCAGAAATCTGAGTTGCTTTGTCATCAAATGTGACATGATAGATTTCAAGAATAATCTTTGTCCTCTTTATATACACTTTGTAGGATTTAGAGATGGATGAGTATTCAATGAATATCCATTCATCTGCTTCTCTGTCAAACTTTCCAAAATTATCTATGTCATTTAGCACAAAACATCTGCAACCATGTACATGATTTTTTTTATATTATTCTTTCTTTTATTTATAATCTCATATGAAGTTTTGTTTAGCCTTCCATTAGTTATGGTTCTATTTTGAGTAAAACATGTAGTGGATATAGCTTTTGCCCATAAGAATAAAGGTAAGTCTGAATAAGCTAGCATAGTCCTAGCAACTTCAACAATAGTTATGTTCATTCTTTCAACCACTTCATTTTGTTGAAGAGTCCTGAGAGATGAGAAATTCTGTGAGATTCCCATAGAAGTACGATAACTTTGAAGAGTCTCATGTCTCAGTTTTGTCCCAATGTCACTCCTTAATTGCTGAATAGGGGGTTGAAGAAAAACTTGAATCCTTTTTATGAAGGAAATAATGATCTCTTATGCATCAGACTTTGACCATAGAAACTCCACCCATGTATATCTAGAATATTCACCAACCATAACTAATATGTATTTCTTGCCATTAATGCTCTGAATTCTCATAGGACCATTTAACTCAATATGAATAAGTTCCAAAGGAGATCTGCAGTAAGATTCCATCTTAGGTTTATGAGAACTTCTTTTGATTTTTCTCATTTTACATGCAGAACATAATGAATCATTCTCAAATCTCATTTCACGTAAGCTCTTGAGAAAATACTCTTTCATAAGTTTATTGAAGGCCTAAAAAGTGATATGTGATAGTTTCCTGTGCAATAACCAACTGTCTTCTTTAGATCTTTTGAGATCAAACAAATGCCTTTTGTCGCATCCAAAGTTGGAAAATCCACAAAATATAAACTAACCACAAGGGTGGTGCCTGATTGGTTTTAACTTGGCTCCAAAGGTCAAAAGTGCCTGGAGGTCCTAGGTTCAAATCCAAGAAGAAACAAAAATCCCTTTGTGGCCACGGAGGTTCAAATACGGTGACTCCGGGCTACCTGCAAAGCAGGTGGTCACCATAGGATTAGTCGGCTCGCATAGCGGGTTGATATCCAGGTTAATAAAAAAAAATTCACAACCATCTATGTCATTTATAACATCTTTGAATGTGAAATTGAACATTAAAACCTTTGTCACATAATTGATTTATGCTAAAAAGATTATTTGTTAAACCCTCAACATAATATATTTTCAGAATTGTGACTTTTCCATTGTTAAGCACAACGTGTCCTCTCACATATCTTTTTCCATATTTCCAAAATCAACAGTTCTGAAAGAACTTAAAGATTGCTTCTAAATTTACCAAGGATGGAATTCTGAAGAGAAGACTTCAGAATTTTGTATCGCAAGATTTCAGATATCTGAGTTGAATGTGCGTACAAGCCAAAGTCTAAGTCTGAAATGTAACACCCTCATTTTCATCAAGAGAGATGTTACGGGATCTGAAACATTTCCTTAATAAATACACCAAAGTAATGGCTAAATTAAAACCATTTAAACTATTACAGCGGAAGTCTTTGAATCATCAAAGTTTTAACTTAAGTTGAAACCCACCTTCTCTTGGGGTTAAGTTACAAAAGATCATTACGGCGCATCTTAGACAAAAGACTAAAATGAGATAATAATAAGCAACACTCTAAGCATGTCCTTTGCCTTTATCCGTCCTCGAACTACCTGGGCCTGAGATGCATACTATAGTCAGCTTATAAAGCTTAGTGAGTTCATGGTTTTCGTGTATAAAAACATTGTACGTCATACATTTCAACTTGTAAACCTTGTACCAAGTAGCATGCAATTTCTGAAGACATGCGACACTGAAAGAAATGAGATCTCATAAATTATCTGTCTGGAATGGGTCATTTAGTCACAAACACGCCCTGGGTTGATACTTCATTCTCGATTGATCACCCACTTGTCCGGGTAGTGTTTTATTCTGGTCGTGACTTACTAGTCACCAACACGCCCTGGGTATCACAATCTTAACTTATCACCCACTTGTCCGGGTAGTGTTTTATACTGGTCGTGACTTACTGGTCAAATGCCCACCCTTAAATCATCAAACTTTAGTATGAAAAAAGCATGCTAGAGTTATTCGAAAACACATAGCATGCAACTGATCATAAAACGTCATACATGTAAAACATATCATGTATGTAAACTGAAACATCATGCATTTGTACCACCATCATATAAATCGTAWAATGCTTGAAAATAAATTTATACATAGGTATGCATCCCATTGTAAGGCTCATGAAGACTCACCTGATAATGTAGATTGCTTATCTAGCGCTGCTGACTGATAACCTACAATTTATAATAGCATATAGCATATAAATGATTAATTTCTCCCAAAGGCTACATAAAAGTCAACTTTTTTTTTTTTTGTAAGGGTGTCCGGGCCAAAGCCCGACTAATCCCCGGCAAATTTGGAGGCTAAACATGACCCCACTTAAATGTCGCCAACACTCCCCTCCCAGGGCTTGAACTTGGATTCATGACTATGCCATGCCCAAGCCTTTACCACTAGGCTGGAAGGTCTTTGACCATAAAAGTCAACTTACGGTCAACTACGTTGGCTAGGGTCAACCATGGTCAACTATGCTTAAATGCTCCTCTCATCAATCCAAATTATAGAAACGTGAGTTCCAACATAATGTGTATTGTCTAGCTATATATCTTAAATTGATTAAGTCTGGAAGAAGGCCAGAGCCTTTGTGAACGACCAGAGCCTCTTGTGGTATTGACAGAGCCTCTGGGCTCTTAAGTCCTTTAGGACCAGAGCCCCTCTGGTTGTATACCACAC